TCCAGACAATTAAATAGTTCAGTGGTTAGTGTTTCCATATAAGGAAAAGGGTTAAGCACATGTATTATTGTATTTTTGTGCCTTGAAAATATATTGTTATTTTTGTGTTTGCGAGTGGTTTTAGAGCGAAAATGTAGGTCAAAATCGAATCTTATTTACAGGGAAAATCGAATACGAGCGCGAAAGGCTGCTGGGAATCGCTACAAAATTCATTAATTTTTTAGCGTTTCCCAGCAGCCTTTCGCACTCGTATTTGACTTTTCCGCTTTGCTCGGGGACAACCTTAATTGAAATAGCTGTATACAATACTAATAGTGTAACTACATTTAACATGTATTACAGTAATAAACTTTAGTTTATATTATAACACTTTTCAAGTTTTAATTATAGTGTTGCATTTTTGCACACAAAAGCAAGAAATACAGCTGCAGCATTATCAATTAAGAACTAAAACTTATTATTTAATATTAAAAGAGAAAATCCTACTAAACAAAAATCCTACTAAAAAAATCCTATCAATTTGACAGACGCTCTTTGTCAGCGGTTTGGATTGCAGACTGTTGAAGAGACGACAATACTTCATAGCATTGCGGCCTTTCCTGTTGTATGACTCGTATCAACTAAACAAGAGTTTTTCGCGTGTTTTTTTAATGTGTTTTATATTATTTTTATTTGTCTTTTACCGTATACAGGTACTATAAGCATGTCTTTCAGACAATGGTCAAATACATTTCTTGCCGACAAGATGAACGGCAACATTGCTTCTTCGCCAATCAAAAACAATTTCCTGCCGATCATTGATCGGCCGTTATTTCGAGCCCTGTATAATGTGGTTGATCTTGCAACATACCTGAGCATGCATCGTTCATAAATGGATATGTGATGAATGTTTTGTTGCAAGTTAAGCCCCGTTTACATGAGCAAATTTTATTTGACATATTTCATTTGATCAAATGCATTTGTTACAAATTTATCATCTACATGAGCAAAATATCTTTGACATATAAAATTTGTCAAATAAAATTTGTTCATGTAAACAGGGCTTTAATTGGTATGTGATGTATGGATTATAAGGAAAGTATTACATGTCATATCATGGATAAATTTGGTACAGGTGCAAGCAGGGCCATAACTCCTGGGGGGGTGTAAAATTTTAACAACACACTCATCTGGCAAAAATATGCAATTCAGCAAACAATTACACAAATATTACTGAAAAATTGTATGCCCCACTTGCCAACAATTTTGGGAAAGAAATATTAATTAGGGACTGAAATACCCGTTGGGCAAAACTTTTGCCACACCCTTTTGGTCGGGCAAAACAGCTCACACCCCCCAGTCGTAATACCCAAGTTACAGCCCTGGGTGCAAGCACTCGTTGTGTGTCACAAAATGTTACTAAATCCTAGAGCTCGATTATGCAGAAATGCATCTTAAATTCTACTACACTATTCGTTTGCATAATTTTATACTTCTAAATTCTAGCTTGGGCAACTTAAATTCAACTTTGTACTTGATGTAGTATATTTAAAACTGTTTGTATCCTTTCGAATATTGATTTCGTTTAGATATTGTTGTATCAATAATATAAATAATAAATACACATTTGAGCCTATTAGGGAGATGCGAGGATTTATTGTATGACAAGGTTTAATAGGTTGTCCAACTCCATACATATGTTCTCCTTGCTTATATTTGACGGGGAATTTGAAGCAAAGTATCTGTATTGCTCAAAAGTCATACAAATCCCATGAAGAATGTAACGAATAATACAGAATTCGCACATTACAGCTATTTATAATCTTACTTTGATCGGCATAATAAAGTTTCTTCAACCGACATACATTGCTCATAATCCATAAAATTGTTACTATAAATGTTCGATCATGTATGAATGGCCATGCATGTAACAAATAAGACTCGATTACCTTTTCTTAATGACTGATTTAGCAATTGAAAATCTTCGTTCGACATCACTCTGTGAAAACCGCCCTTTCCGCGAATAATTCCACGACACGAAGTACACACGAACATCCTCGAATCGTAACATCCTCGTTCCCAGGGCGATGATTGAAGCCACGCAGTCACCGAATTAAATTGGCAAATTACGAATGGCCACGGTCTATGGTCACGGTTCTGGCATGGTTGTACCTCGGGTTACACCGTGGCACTATAGCTCCACAGTCTATTGGTATATGGTACACAGACAGTACTATTGGTACTACGGCACTACGATACACTGGACGAAAAATAGTTGGATTTGCATGGGTTTACCTTTCCCAAAACTATCATGCATTTTATTAAAATTTGCCAAAAAACCGGGTGAGTTTACAACTACAGCACTGCTTTATCATTTTAAATTCAACACGCAACAAATAGCCTGTGTGTACAGCCGTTATTCTCGAAGAAGCAACAAATGAAATTCTTCCTTCAATTGTAGCTTACACTACTTCACAATTTGTAGCCCTGCGTGAATCTCAAGGTGCAACAGTTGCATTTTTCGCAACTGCTTGGTTAGGTCTGATAAATGTATAAAAATTCCACCAGAATTATGCATATACCAGAGCATAGACATTATAACAATGAGTGATTGCGTGGCATAGAAAGCAGTGGGATTTGAAAAACAATGGAACGGAGCGTTCCGGATGAAGCGTGACTGGATGGCAATATCGTTGAGCTCAGGAAACATCCAAAAGCTACAATTCAAGATTTTTCAAGGGCCTTCAAGTTTTGGACGAACCCTGTTCGAGTAATCAAATTGAGTGTATAGAGGATGCTTTCATTCGGATTATGTTTTATATTGGTCGCGTCTCGCTCATCGTGTTGCTTTCTAAATTTTCTTTCATGAAGTTTTCGGCAAAAAGTGGATGTGCATGTGGAAAGTGATAGGAAAGGGGAAGAAGCTCGGAAAACTGTAAATGTCCTAATTTTCTTCTTCGCGTCCTCCTCCAAATAATAACACAATTACGTAACAGCTTTAGGTGACTGTGTTTTCTATGGAGAGCGAGACTTCGTGCGTCTATTTGAGATTGCACACAAAATGGGGGGAAACGTACATTCCCTGTTGTGGAAAGGTTTGTACAAATGGAAGAATATCAAGAGTAATAAAATATATTTATACTTTGACTTTGTTTAAGAGATTCAAACTTCAACTATGTCTATATGTACAAAATATTACATGCATATAATACATTCTTCTATAAAGTTGAAATTAAGTTTTCGACTTCAAATATTACTAAAATTAAAATGACGTCAAGAATCTGCAATAATATTTAATCTGATATATGTGCATTGTGGCAATTATCAGCTGCTAACCACAATCCATTGCGCTATGTGCGCAGTGACATCAGTAGGGGTGACTGTGGAATCATAGCCGGAATGGTATTAGAAGAGTATGGTGCACGCTAATCAACCGTCATGCACTGGGAAGGTTTAAAAAACCATATTAGATCCACAATAAATGCCCTGAAAAATCTTTATACCTAAGCTACGATTATTGATTGCGATTTGTAGCGCCGATCTTAGTGTGTCGGCCGACCGCAATCGCAATATGGAAATTAACTACATTTAAAAACACTAATTTACATATATTTAATTGTTTTTGATTAAATACTATATTAATTATATTAGCTATAAATACTATGCTTTCTAGTACACCTACATACATGTTCATGTAATTAGATAAACTTGCATATATCGCGAGTGCTTCCTCTGACGATATTTGTGTCATGGAATGGGACCCAGCTATATCATACAGTACTCCAAAGCATTTATCAACAGGTTTGACGTAGATGGTTTCACTGCGACAGCGTGGGTTTACCTGTGACATTATATCTTTCACCTGTGTTTTTTCATTCCCCACAAACATACTGTCCCATAAAACGTTGTATTGAATGCACAAACACAGTAAACACCAAAATGGGATGGCAAGTGTGTTTGAATATCAATGTCTACTTTGGAATGTAGGAGTCAACCATATTTTCTATTTCGTAGCCCTATATAAAAGAACTGAACAGTTGAATGACAAGCTCTTATTGCACAACAGCGTTGATCCACAACTACACCTCCATTCTCCATTCTTACTGGCACATGCATTTGTCATGCATAGTTTGTCAAATCAGACATTGAATAGAGAAAGCATAAACTACCTTCGTTTTGATCTAAACTATTGTACGTTGAAAAAATAAAAAAACCGTCGATGTTTCGAGCCCTTTATCCAAGGTTCCACTAACGTTAGGGCGAAGGGTTTTGGATCAAGACGTCGATGTTTTCTTCTTCATTTTTAGGTAGTTACCATTGAAACAAAGACAATGTTTTCTTCGCTGTACTCTCGCGTTTGAGATCATAGAGAAATATACACCAATATCAAATATACGCTTTTATAAATTTCCTCATGCATGCATGCATGCAGTCACTTTTAGTTCGATTTATAAGTACTAAGGATATTAACGTGAAATTACTAGCAGAGTCAGAGGGCCACTTGTTATAGTGTTGTAGCTACTTTCTTTAAACAGAGAGTTCATTCTCTCAAATTCATTCATTACCTGTGTTGTGTGTAATGTAATAGTGTCAAGTTTCTCCAGTTTGCTTTGAAATTGGAACGTGTAACTCTTCTCTTCTTTGTAATGGCTCAGTATATTTTCGATAGGAAACATTCGAATGGTATCCTGTAAAAAATACATATATTAGATGCAGATATTATATATACGATTACCTGAAAGATTATATTGTTAGTAAGTTGAATGGTATACACTATACAGTACCTTTGTTTTTGGATTAATTAAATGGATGCCTTTGTAATTGATACCAACATTAACTACATTTGGAGATTCAAGAAATTGTCTTTGCTAAAGGATTTAACAATAAAGAATATATTACATCATTATAACCGTAGATGGAATGTACCCGTTGCTCACAGCCAAATAAACCGAAGTAATCCCAAACAAATAGATACGATTCTTCTTGGATGAAATGGACTGTTGTGGCAACTTTTTGAGGTAAAACGACTATTTCTGCTCTTTATTTATACAGGGTGTATAAAAAAAAACTGAACATGCAGATTTGAAATTGCTCTCAATTTCGCAAAACAGCTATTAGTATCCAGTTTTTGATATATATGGCTTCTTTGGGTACTTATAATGTAGAATAATGAAAAAAATTTCTCGAACATAAATTTTGTAAACCAGGGGGGTGTGTCTTTTCCGACAAACTAAAAATGGCTTGCGCACGAGAATTAAAAGCTATAATCGTATTTTGAGTTAATGGATGAAAAATGTGTTGGGTGTTTAATTAATTGCTGCACGAAATTTCAGACAATTTGCTTCAGTTTAAGCCCTTCAACTATTCACGCATTTTTCCTAAAAAATCAACAATTTGCATGCTCAATTAATGCATTTGCCCAATTGACATATGTCAGCAATATGCAAATTATAGGTAAAGGCATTAATTAAGCAAGCGAAAGACTGATTTTTTAGGGAAAAAAATGGATAGTTAAAGGGCTTAAACTAAAGCAAATTGTCTGAAATTTTGTACAGTAATTAAAAACCCAACAAATGTTCCATCCATTAACTCAAAATACGATTAAAGCTTTTAAATTTTGTGCGCAAGCCATTTTTAGTTTGTGGGAAAAGACAACCCCCCCCTGGTTCACAAAATTTGAGTTCAAGAAATTTTTTTCATTATTCTACCTTATATAAGTACCCAAAGAAGCTATATACAGTACATCAAAAACTAGATACTAATGGTTGTTTTGCGAAATTGAGAGCAATTTCAAATCTGTTCAGTTTTTTTTTATACACCCTGTATAATATCGCTCTTTGGCATTTCCACACAATTTCTCGTTTTCCCAATTTCCACTCGTGTTGATATAACTGTATTTGAACACGGAAAATGTTTTATATTTGTTAAATATGGAAAACTTGATTTTCTAATAACCTACCCCCACTCTAAAATATGCGGATCCAAACCGTTCATTCTTTTGCATGGTGAGCAGAAACATTTTTCTTATTTCCACCTCTGAATTTAATGTTATCTTTCGACAGTTCATAATAATATACTAGAAAGAAAAACCCCAATATGAAATACAATGCACACAATATTTAAATCGATTAATAAACTAGTTAATAAATTAATCAATTAATTACTTATGGTCATTTACCTGTCTCCATACTTCAGGGAAAAGGTCATCAATCATGTGATGTGGTAATAATTCTTCAAACACCTGCCTAATTATCAAAATACAAAATTCGTTTGTAAAAGTTAAGACTATACAATTAAATAATATTATTTCAAATTCATCTTTTGCCATATATACGAAACTATTTTCCTTCACAGCTTACATTTCTGAATTTGATCCTGAAATGTAATAATCGGATAAAAAAATAAATCATAGTTACGTGATTTCTGGGCGGTTCCATTGATTGCCAAATTTACACTTTAAGATCAACGCAGCAAAACATGATGCTTCTTCTATGGTTAATTTGTAATACCCACGAAGATATTTAGACACTTCCTATAAAGAAAAGCACGTTGTTATATATAACTGAATCAGATATTAATTACACTACTAATTATCGCCAATTGACTAGAAATCATTATATACAGAATATATAACGGAGCCATCGTTTATGCTTTAATTAATCTTTAATACTGTTGTACGAGAAAAAGTAGTAAGAATTACTTAAAAGCATTTTAGAAGATATTCGGTTGTTATCTCATAATCCTAAATCCGAGCCTAAATCTTTCAAAAAATAATCATCAAACAACCTTACGTGATTTACGTCTACCGTTGGCCCAATGCCATCGAATCGCGCCGAAATGTAACGGCATCAACAAAACCCGGATCGGAACGGATTGACAAAACCCGGATCGGAACGGATTGACAAAATCCGGATCGGAACGGATTGACCACAAAACCCGGATTAAACTAAAGACCTTTGTTTTGATCCGTATGTTTGCTTATATGTTGGGTATTTAGGGAAGAGTATCTCTTCTCTAGAGAGCCCTCCCCCCTAAAAAGGTTACCCATAGTTATCGGTATTTTGTTCTTATCGTGCACATAAGGTAATTTTCTACGCCGGGTCGGCAATTGGCGATGCTTGCCGGCCGAAGGAATAATATGTCATCTTCTGCTGACATATGTTTTTTTATTAATATTATATGCACTTCATAATAACCAACGTTTCTTAAAACAATTTTAGCGCGTTTTTCTTGAAATTTGAGTGTTTTCAATGCAAGGAAGGCGTAATAATAAAAATGTCTAGAACAGGTATACTATTACGAATGTATATACTGGTGTTTGTACCATGTTGTTTTCTTTTATATATTGTGCAAAGATGATTTCGAAATGTTAAGGTCTTCGAAAAAACTGTCGAATTTTTCAACGATGTTTTACAGAGATTTATTAAATTACAGGCACAAAATTACAGTACAGTACTAAGTAAAGAATATCAACTCAATTTAACATGTGTGCTGTTTGTCCCAGATAGGGCCGATTACACAGGAGCCGGGGGTAATATAAAATGAATTTTACGATTACATGGAAAAAAATTCAACCTGGGCTGAATTTCAGCCCGGGTTGAAATTTTCATCCTAGTTTATGTCACCCAGGATGAGATTTTCAGCCCTGTCAAACAGGATGAAATATCCCATGCAATCGCAAATAAATTCAAACTCGTTTAAATGGCTTTGTTTTGCGTTTTAATTGTCTCATCTTTAATATTCTATATGCAACCACACTTACACAAGTCATTTCAAATTTTTGTCAATCCGTTCCACTGATCCGTTCCGATCCGGCTTTTGTCAATCCGTTCCGATCCGGGTTTTGTCAATCCGTTCCGATCCGGGATTTGTCAATCCGTTCCAATCCGTTCCGATCCGGGTTTTGTTGATGCCGGAAATGTAAGCAGATTGAAATAGCAAGCAAGTTATGACTAGCTTATATAAACCACGATACTGTAAACTGGGACCGTAATGCATATAAAATTATAATAAATGCACTAAAAGTAGTTTTGATGAGTCATTGCCAATATTGTTTCATTTTTTCTGTTTTGTTCACAAATTATAAAGTTAGCATCTCAAATTTTTGATTCTCTAATCTCCAGTTGCATAATCCCAAACCAGATTTAAAAAGTAGAGCTTATCGCTGAAAGGCTGAATGACTAAAATGAATGTAAACATAAATATATTATTCTTTTACGAATATTATTCATTATTCTTTCTGAAGCTACGATGCTGATGGAATCGCTTGTGAAAGAAGAACCGTTCCGAAGTTATATACCCGGTGATTACCTCTTGCATGGGACCTATATAATCTCGTTTGTGTTTCGCCACTTTTGGCACTTTCTTCATCTTCTTGTACAATATAATTGTCCGTTTGAGTTATGTAAATATTGTTTAGTTTTTTATGTGCCAAATTAAAGTTGTCAAACTTTAAAAAAAATACGACCTACTGCAGAGCGTGGACCGATACTTTTCTCACACGATGTCTTAAATCTGAAGCGAGAGTCGAACCATCAATCTCAAAGATGGATGACGATTGCTCAGACGACTGCACCGCCGAACTTTTCACGGAGTAGACACTTACCTGAGGATAGAGAAATACTGCATCAGCAATAGGATCCTGTCCAGGATACACGCCATTCCACACTCTTCTTAAGAATATCAATTTATAAGGGATTCCTTTTGCTTTGTTGTATACTAGAATGAGTAACATACTTTTAACTTTGTTGTATATAGAATGAGTAACATACCAAATTGTGTTTAAAATCACCTGAAATTTCGATAATGCGAACGAATTTATTATGGCAGATTTAAAT